TATAGAAGCTGACACCAGCTGGTTAAATATGACAAAGTTAATTCAAAGAATGCGGAGTAGCTAGCATAAATATTCAAAAGTCTAGATAAGTTCCTTTAGCATAAACCTCTAAAACGATTCTCAAACCCCACAGAGGATAGTCCACAGAAGGAAACTGTTCCTAGTCATTATCTGAGTACTGGGTCATATTATTTTTGAAGCTCCAAGGATCTTAAAATGAGCTCAACTCTTTCAAGGTCTAGCAGCGATCCTGTTTTTCCATCAAGCACAAGATGCTGTAAACTTTGCTGTCTTACAAAACTGGAAGCCCTTTCTCTCACCCCTCTCCTCAGAAAAATAAATTTTGCATTTTATCTTTTCCATCTCTTTCCTTACTTCTGAATTCATATAAGTTGGAATCTAGGGCATATAACTCTGCCCTAACTGCAAAAAGAAGCAAAAGAGGAAAATTTTATGGGTTCTTCCTAAGCAAGTGACCTAGAAATTTTCTAAAGATAATAAATGTGTTTAACAGTTGCTAGAAAGTTCCAAAAAACTGAGCAGTATGAAATATTCATGCTCCTACTCATACACAGAAAGCCAATACCATCTCAGGGACCACAATTGGGTATACAGAATTCATTTTCTTAGCAAGACACACAACATTTTTCCTTTAGCTTCAAAGGAAAGACCAAAATTAGACAGAATTTCATGCAAGGAAGCTTCTTCTTAGGGCACGAATGCTCTTAGAACTTTTGAGAGAGATGTGAACCTAAAATATCATTATATTTTAGACAGAAATAGCCAAAGAAATCCATCAGGTACAAGACATAAAATAGAGGAAAGAAAGAATAGGCAGAAACACAGGTTCCTTCTGTAAATTTGATTCTTGTCTCCACTATTAGATAGAAATAGCTTCTCCATTATTTCCCAGCTACTGAGTTATTTCCCTGGTGACTTACTTTTGAACATAGCCACTTGTGAAATACTGTACTCTCAAAGTAGCATGGAATAGACTGGAAAAGATTAAGACCCAGAAACAAACAGTTCCACTGATATACAGCTACCATATACATTAAAACCAGGAGCAAACAGTGAAACCTGGACCAGCAGATGGGCTGTAAAAACAGAAAGTGGATATCGTATATGTAGTGGGATCAGACATGCTGCATCTGAAACCTGAATTTTCTCCTAATGGTTATTACTACTCTAAAAGTTGCATAACTGAGGATAAACACAAAATCTTTAAGATGCAGTCAGTGAATACCAAGAACCTACCAGTAAATTGGTTAGTGAGTCAGAAGCATCAGTTAGTCACATGGGCCTAGACCACAGGCCCAAACGTTGGGGACGCATTAACAAGAGGACCAAGCCCCAATGAGGCAAATCATCAAAGTATACAATGAAGACTAAACTTGGGAGCAAGAATACTAAAATTTACTACTAGAGTAAAACTGATAAAGAGAGCAAAATGGATAAAGTTTTTCATCTGTATAAATGTATACTACAGGGGCTGGGAATTTAGCTCAGCGGCATAAGCTCCTGCCTTGCAAGCAGGCAGTCTTGAGTTCGATCCCCGGTACCGATAAAAAGGGAAAAGGCAAAAGAAAAAATGTATACTACAAACCAGGAATAAGAACATTATTAATAATGATGCTAGGACAATAGGCAAAAACTCTGAATTTTTGGGAAATATTGGGACAAAGGATGACCCCAGTGATACCTAGAGAATCCAAAGCTAGAATACAAAGAAACACAGTTGAAAACCAGAAAAAAATTCAAAAATAGATAACCAAAAAAAAAAAAAAAAAGAAAGAAAACCTGATTACCTGATTTAAGAATGACTTTTTTCTTTTTTTTCCTAGCTTTTAGTTTCAATGTTGGATGATATAAAGTTAAAAATCAGCAAACTTAAAAAAATTTTTTCCCCTTAATTCACTAGTCCGCCAGAGGTTAATTCACTAGTCCAGCAAGAGGAGTAGGGATAAAAACTCCCAAGGGAACTTACTCCAGATCCAGAAGATGGCAGCTTATGAGCTGGATTGTTCAAAGCAGACTGGAAGATGGTTTTAATGATGAGTTCCTCTAATCCTTTCTAGCTTCAGTTTCACTGAAGGCCCGGCTTTGGATGATACCCAGAGAATTTCTACAGGATCTGCCCAGGGGCACAAAGCTTGAGTTTGTGGCCTTAGGCTCTTTACAAGTTTTGGAAATGTTAAAAAAAAAATAGGAAATCAGATGCCTATCACCCGCCTGATTATGATGTCATTCAAGAACTCTAATTGTTCACAGACTCACTAAAAGAAAGTTCTCTGTGGGAATTATTCTCTGGTCCCAAATGTAATCAAAGGAGGAATTTGGAGCTGTCCCTAAAATCTGGCATGTTAGCCTCAGGCAGATGGTTTGATCCAGGCCTCAATTTCATAAATGTCATAATGCTGTATGAAGAAAGTCAGCAAAACTTTGCTCCAGATCTTTAAACAGATGACCATTCTACTTTCTCAATGCTGCAGTGTTATTCCCAAGCTTCCAGTGGATGACTCAATAGTAATCTGGTCATGGGAAGCAACTTCCATTAAGATATTCAGGACAACCTCAACATGCACTTTGCTTTGATGGGGAAAAAAAGATGTTGGACACAGGCTCTACCTTTAACAGTGAGCTCTTGAGCTCTCTTGGTCATGTTAGTTTATTAAATTCCATGCTCCCCTCCCATGCTATACAAGCTTCTTAAAAATCACATTTGTGAGGATTTGAAGAATTAGAAATTCAGTACCTAAGTTTGAGGGTCAACAGGCCTTAAGTTAATGAACATTATGTACTTAAGCATACAGAATTTGACAATGTATGACTGAACAAAGATTGTTAATGTAAAGTGGAAAAAATGTTGAAAAGATTCTCAGCACCACAAGCCATTTAAACTCTTCCCATAATTCACAGGCTTTTTTCTTTCTCTTTTCTTTTATTATCACTTAATTAATATTGAACTCACTATATATTTCACTTGTGTCATTATATGCTGTGCCAATGTTCTGGGTATTTTCAGTGCCTAGAATACTTGGCTGGCACATAACAGATATTCAGTGATATTTATTAAGTGAATGAACTATGGAAGACTGTCCTTCCCATAAAAATCATTCAGTACAGTTTTTCTTTAAAATGTAAAGCAATCAACTGAGAAAAGGAGTTCTCCAAATCTCTTACTGCTGTGTGCCTGGAGGGTTCTGAGCTGGAGAGTGGCTCTTTTTAAAAGAAAGGGATTTAAAGAAAATGCAGAAGCTGTGAGTTGAGGGTGTGGCTAAGAGAAAAGGAAATGCAATTCACCTGTCTTTTGAGATTCAAAATTAATCCCCAAAAAATCCCAGCTAATGTCCAAGAAAGTAGACTATTAAAAAGTGTCATATTTGTTTAATTTCTGTAGCTTAATCATATCTGAGTTTTGCTCTACCTGTCTCTCTTGACAGCAATAATCCTTCAAAAAACTAAAAAAGGCTCAGTAACATCTAAGAAACAGGAGATGATAGAAGAATTCTGAGAAATAGGGCAAATACAGAACATTTAGAGGAAAGGGGGCAAAACATGCTAGAAAACTGGAAATTCAGAAAGAAAATAAGAATATGGAAACTAAAAAATTATGTAATCTTGCTGTTTTCAAAAGTTAATGATGTTCTGAAGTCATTTTTTATTTTCAACCATTATAGTTGCTACACTAGGACACGGCCTCACCATCTTTCCATAGAAACATACATAATATCTGGGTAACTGTACGTACTTCCTCAAATATTTAACATTTTTTCCATTGTTTTTGAAATACCTAGTACATGATCAATATCTATAGTCACACTTCTGTGCAATAGAACACCCTCGGCCTATTATGAATGCTCACCACACAAATGATACTTTCAAACCACTTTCTGATGATGTTTACAATTGTTTATAATAAGGCATAAGTATGAACTTCATAAGTAATGATAATAGTATCTATCTTATCATAGTTGAATTTCAAACAAATAGGACAGAACATTTGCTCTATAAATAGGCCCATAACTGTAAAGCACAAATTAATAAAATGATCATATTATATACTACGCAGATTATAATCTTAATAATGTAAAACATTATTTACTATACAAAAAAATCAGAAAATATACTGAAGCAAGATGGTGGATATGGTAATTACCTTGAGTCATTACCCAATGTACACATGAATTAAAGCATCATAAACAGCCTCATCTACATGTGTATTACGTATCAATTAAAAATTAAAATTTACCATGAAACATTTTTTCCTCTGATACTGAGATTTTTTAAAAATATATGCAAAATCAAAAGGGAATAGCACAACAACCATGCACCTAATCAATCAGATATTACTGAGAGGCACACTGAAAAGTATATTATACTCATCATACCAACAGGACCCTGCATCCTCCAGGTCTGCATCTTCTCCTACCTCATGCTACTTATGTCTCCAAGGAGGGTGAGCAGCAGCAGCCATATTCTGTACATATTACTTTCTCCCACCACACCAATCCAGTTTTCCAATGTTAAAAATCTCTGTTACTGATCACTTTATTTTTAGAACAAAGTACAATTGCTGACATGCAGGTGAACATATTGAATGTTAACTGCATAATGTTAACTGTATTAAAGAAAATGACAAAGTGTGTGGCTCATTTCTTTCACTTACTATAAAATGATACCTAACAGGTGTGTGGTGAGAACTAAATGCAAAAATGGGTTTAAAACATGCCTGGTACACAGGAAGCACTCAAACATATCAAACATAATAATCAACTATTATCAGAATAACCATGGCTTACTCCCTTATTCACAGCCATCTTAAATTGTGGATAATAACTCCTGCCCTATTCCTCCATAACTTTGAGATGAAAAAAACGCTTAAACCACTTTGGGAACTGTAAAGCCATGGACAAACACATACCATTATCATGATAACGATTATACTCCATTGTCTTTGTGAATCTTGCCTATAAATTAATCCTTTAGAGTCACTTTACCTTTGCTGATGTTTCAAACCATCCTACAAAACCATGCTCCTTGCAGAACTGGTCCATCTTGAGGCCATTGTTTATGAGCACATCCTTCCCCTGGTCACATTTGTTAGCCAATAAAACCACTGAAACTGGTTTGCCATTTGGGAGCGTTAACTTTGAGTCCAAATCATTTTTCCACTTTGCTACTGCTTCAAATGTGGCCGGCCTGGTGACATCAAAGACAATGAATGCACCCATAGCTTCTCTGTAATAGACCCTTGTCATGTTTCCAAATCTTTCTTGACCTGTCATCAAAAAGAAACAGAATTCAAAAACTTATCACAGTCAGAAACTGAGTCATATATTTCAAGTTCATGTGTACTTCAGTATGAGCAGGTCATTCAGTAAAGAACTTTATTGCTAATTTTTAAAGAATGAGTTAAATAATCAGTCCCACATCTTTGCTCTTAATAATTGAAACCAAAAGGAAATTTATTCATTTAACAAATACTTAGTGAGAAAGCACTGCATATCATGTGCATATCTAGAACTGCTAATACAATATCTCACTATCAACTATTTATATCTAATGTACTATTTACCATTCATCATTTATACTTAAATAAACCAAAACTAAATAAAATCTTAAATTTAGTTCCTTAGTCACAGTTATATTTCAAGTGTCCTCCAGATAAATGTGGTTTCTGGATTAAATGATGTCAGTAACAAACATCTTCACCAGTACAGGACATTATGTAGGGCAACACAGCATTAAACTCTTGAGACACAATGAATGAAACATGAACATTCCTGCTATCAAGAAGCTTAAATTTTAGTGGAAAGGTAGATTACTATGTAAGAAGATTGTGTATGAGGTGTGATCAAAACTTACGGTTAATGTGCAAATTTATAAAACTTTATTACAGTGTAAGACACATTGTCACCAATTATTCTCAAAATATCGCTCCTACAGCAGTTCTGGAAGTCCACTTTCATGACTGTCTTTACTTGTGCTTTAGCAGCTACCTTGATATTCTTAATTCTTTCATAATATTTACCTTTCATGATCATTTTGACTTTTGGGATGAGCCAGAAATCTCCGAGTGAGTAGACTCAGTGAATAAGTTGGGTCAAGATACATCATAATGGTCTTATTTGGCATAAAGTTCTGTAAATGTTTTAAAACAAATTGAGGTATTGAAGCAAACACAAAAAGACACTCAAGAAAGAAGAGTTTCAGAACTCCTTGAGAAAGTGGCAAGAATGATGGGATGAGTAGGTTTGAAGTAAAAGGGGAAAGTGTTTCTAAGGAGATTAATATCAGTCTGTCTTTTACTGTAATTCTTTTTCATTTTTAACTTAGATATTCATTTTTTATCACATGTTTTGATCACACCTCATATGTTTAAAAGGCATCTAAAACCTACTTGAATTAAAAGTAGTAATACTAACTAGCACTCATTATATATTTACTAACCATCATAAATATGATTTGGATAAATGATTATGAGGGTATAATTACTACCAATGATTTATTTGTTTACTTACTTATTGTGGTACAGTCAACTGACCCTATTGCCTTAAATATGCTTAACAAGTGCTTTATCTATGAGCTACACCCCCAGACATTATTTTTACTTTAAAGTGAGAAAGTTGGGGCTGGGGATTTAGCTCAGCGGCATAAGCGCCTGCCTTGGAAGCAGGCAGTCGTGAGTTCGATCCCTGGTACCGGTAAAAAAAGGAAAAAGACCAAAAAATAAATAAATAAATAAATAAATAAATAAAGTGAGAAAGTTGAAATGCAAAGTATAAGTAACTTGCTTATATTTAACAGATGGCAAGCTTGCTAAATCAGAATTCAAACCTAAGCAGTTTGATTCCAAAGCCTACTATTATTTACTAGCATCGAATATTTCCAACAACTAAACCACAGTCTAGTACTATCTTTCCTCTACATTTATATACAGAACAGCCTATTCAACCCAATTTGACAGATGTTTATTGAAGATGTTCAGTACTGATGACAGCCTCTGGGCTACATTCTTAGGATACAACAGTGAACCAGCTAGCAATCTACAATGTACTGGATAAGGAAAGCTCTCTGACACTGCAAAATTTTTATTTAAAAAAATAACGGACAGTCATTCTAGAATTAGTTGCAATCAGCTAGAATCAGTTTGCTATTCAATTTTCTAAAATACAAATTCCTTAGACTCTGTAAATTAAGTGCTCCTCATCTGCAAAATGACTATAAGAATAAGAACCACAGCACTGTTCTGTGGAGAAATAAATTAACACATATAAAACATTCGGCACATTATCTTAGAACTAGTAAACATTTGAGTTTTTCCTTCCCTTAGTTAGCACATTAAAAATATAACACAAAATATGATGGTAAAAATCAGACCTGAGTTAATGCCAAAAAATTTCAGGTATTTCAGCTGAAAAAACAAAAACAGTCAATAAAATCATATTATTTCTAACTCTGCCAATAAGCAACTTCTACTAGCAGTTATGAAGACAGAGTTTATATTTCTTTTAAAAACAAAATTCCAGAAGTGTGTAGCCAGACAAAAATTTTAATTCTGATCTAGAAATGCATGCATGTTAACAATCTTAAGAAATTATATAAACTACAATAGAGTTAGGTACATATTACTGTTCTTAGAAAAAACAGAATGCTAAAACTGGATACTATTTAACAAAATGTAGGTACATATACCTCTAAGGATATACAAATTTTGAGCCAAGGATTTATGACAATGAATCTTAATATAAATTACAAACTATTTTGTAAATTATGTTCACAATGGCATTAGCATTGGTATTGAAGAGGTAAAGAGGTCCCTAAACACTAAGCGGATAAAATCAGAGGTTCCAGTGTAGTTATAGAGCTGTATGCTCAAGCAGATATTACCAACAAAGAGAACTAGCTCATGACAATCCAAAATCATTTCTTACATAGGCTGTACACTTTTCAAACTTCCCACAGCCATCTAGTCAATGAAAGAAAGGGGTAAAACACTCTTCATATGACACACAACCCAAAGATGAACTTTCACTTTTCCCCAAAGTTTTAATTTTTTTCCTTTTTTCTAAATTCCTGATGCAAACAGTGATCTCCTTTGATACCATTCAGTATGAGCCATGACATTTCAGAAAGACAGGACAGGGGAACTCTATGTGATCATTCGGAACTCCAAAGCCCTAAAGGCTTTTTAAAACAGATGTCTTATGACATCTGAAAGATCTAATCAGATGAATGGCAAAGTCATGGGTTTTTCAATAATCTGCTTGACTAGAGGTTTTCAGAGTTTATTCAGTCAAGAACAAACTAAAAGAAATATATCTTTATCTCCTTACTGCAGAACTTTTGTTAGGTGCTTCAAATTGGTGTTTTGAAGCCAGCGTACTTGATTTCAATGGGTCATTTTTCTGATTATGTCAAAAAGCAACAGATAGTCTTGAATCTTCATAGAGATTCAAAAAGGGAAATGTGTGTGGGTTTGTGAGCCTACATATGTCACATCAGAAATAAGGAAAAAATGGCTTATTTCTAGAAAGAAAAGACCTTTGTATATTGAGGTCACTGGGCCAGCCCACTTGGAAAGTTCATATTTTTGGCATTCCAGCAAAGGGTCACATTCAGATCAGACTGTTTTATCCCTCCTTTGTCAGCTGACAGCCCTCTCTGCTGTTTCTTATTAAAAGAGTAAGAACCATGTGACCCTTAGTGAGTACCTACTTATGGGCAGAGTAAGGACCTGAAAAATTACCCTGGGCAAATTTACTTTAAAACAAAAGAATGTAGTTTAAAAAATCACCTTTGGCATTAGATCGCTCATTCAACACACATATACTGAACTGCTAATGAGGTCCAGAGTATACTTTGTGCTGAAAATTTGTAGTTTTTAGCCCATGAGGAATTTCTAAACTAAGAAACATCATACCAAATGCCTGCATTGAAAGTGATCCAATTTACTCCCTGAGGTCCCTTCCCTTCCCTGTGTAGATATGACTTATTACTCAGCTTGTAGCTCTTAGGGGTGTAAAGTGAAGAAGCAATCAATTGAATCACCAAAGTTAATGGGTGCAGTAACAATTTGGGCAACTTCATGGCAAAATTCACTGACTTATAGGGTCAGAAGTCATGATTCTTAATTTTAATCATGACTAGCCTTGAACAAAAATCAGAACAGCAAATATTTTCTCTTGTGTTAAGTGAGCCTGGTGTGGTTGAACTCTAAGGCCCCTCCTATCTTTCGTCAGATTAACTCAAACTGTTGCTCTTTCCTCACACCTTAAAATGGTCCATTTTGTATCAGACTCAGCTAAAAATACACAGAACCAGCACAACTATATTGTGCATTTAATGGTATTTTCACTTCACAATTAGTACTCTATGTATATTCTTAAGAAGCACAACCAAGTAGTAAATCTAGTTAGACATAAAACCTTGGCAGAAAGCATAGCAGGTTTTTCTATCCTTCTGATATCTGATCAACTACTTTTGTGATCTGATTCATCACTTCACCACTGTGAACCTCAGTTTCCTTACTGGTAAAATAAAGAATCTAGACATATGTTCCAAAATAAATGGCTAGATATCCCAAAATAAATTTATTAATGCTCTGGATAACTCGCGTTAGCATCAGAAGGTACAAACTCTCCACCTCCTGCTACTATGCTCCCCAATCTGATTTCTTTACCTCCTATTCCTATGTTCCCCAATCTGATCATAACATCACCAGCAATACAGCTTGAGTATAACAAAGATAACACCCAGAACGTTATCTTCAGATCATCATCTTCCAACTCACTCCTGACTCCCTCATCTGAAGGATCTCCAACAACCCACCAACATCTCCACTTCAAAAGCAGCTCTGCCCTGTGCCTTCTCTTCTCTGTCAGCATTTCTACCACTCCAGCTCAGCTCCTCACTTGGACCTCTGACAGCTCCCTAATTGTCCCTCATCACAATGCTCTCTTCCCAGAAATGAATATAAATATAGGTCTTTAGACAGTTGTCATCTGATACCATAAAAAGTCATGTGAAGTTTATTTATAGAATACCCATTCCTGCCTGTACTATCCCCAGATTCTTATCATGTTGGTTTCTTGTGGGACTCAAGAATCTGCATTTTTAAACACATTCTATTTCTATTCTAAGTCATTTAAAGGTAATTCTTACAGCTATATTCATCTGTTTTGGATATCAAATGACTTATGCAGGCTATGAAAAAGAGACTTTCATTAACACTACACAAAAGGTTGTATATCTTTTGGCTCTAATCACTTTTTCAAA